AAAAAAAAAATTTTTTTTTTCCTACTCCAGCATCTACTGCTTGTGCTTCCAGGGGAAATTAAGGCAAACTAAAGCCGTACTTCCCAAAAACAAGGCGTACAATTTGTCATTGTTTTAGTAAAGCCATACAGTGTACGCCCGCACACATTGCTAGCCAAAAGCCCTCTGCTTTCTTTAGTTGGCACAAACACAAAAAAAGCTTCAACGACGTTCTCCCTCTTATTTTTTTCTTTTGGCTTAAAAAAAACAATCAATCTAAAGCAGAGAAGCTATTCCTGAGCTCCATGACGGAGCCACAAGGATCTAGCAACACCTGAGCTCCATCTCATCTGACTCCTATTGCTGCAGATAATTTTCTGCTGATGTCAACATCATAACAGGAAGTAAATATTCCTGGACCTGTAGTATTATTATTTTTTACTCGTATAAATAATATTTAATTCTGTACCACTTCAGACTTTCTGTGGAAGTTATTGATTGAAAAATAATAGTTTTGATAAAAAAGTTGTACAGTGATGGTGTTTTATAATATTTATAATCCTGCTTTCTGCTTCTGATTTGATCAGTCAAAGAAAAACAGACTTCCACCACGTTGACTCTCATTGCGTCTCCTTTTAGATTCAATGACTGCTGACATTTTTGCGTGTTTGCACCCGACTTTTCAAAATGCGCTAAATATAAACATTTAAATTCTTCTCATCACATAGTGGCTGGTAGGTACATTTTCATGTTGTCCTCCCAGTGTTTTGCATGTTCTGCTGATCAGCATACGCTCTGTTATTCATGAAGCGCCTGCTGTTCCACTCATTATTCAGACCAGCTGTTGTAGATCAGGTTTTTACGTGTTTGTTCTTCACACAAACCTTTAATGGATCTGGACAAAAGGTGACGTTTTTTCTCTCTTACGGCGTTCAGGTTTCATTCAGTGACTGAAATTAGCTTCTCTGCAGCCGCAGCGCTAAACCAGGACAGTAAAGAAGTTCTGCTAATCATGTTTACTTACAGAACCAAACAGAGCAGCGCCCTCCATCCCGCCACAGCACCCCGCCCACCTCCCTGTACCGCACCCACTCACTGGGACCGCCTCCTGCTGGCCTCCCCAAGTCCCTCCGTGCCGATCAGCTTCCGACGCAGCCAGTGTACTCCACGCCGCGGCACAGCCACAATGGAAGGTAGAAAAGCCAAAACCAAACAAAGCCTTTTATTGTTATGATTGTTTTTCTGCTCGGCTCTGATCAGAAATCCTCTCCTGTCGCCCGCAGCGTGCCGGGCCTGGAGGCAGAGCCGGCGGAGGGCAGCTTCCTGTACGGGGAGGACGTGGATGAGTGCAGCGCGCTGAGCGAGAGCCTGTCGCGGCTGCGCAGCCCGTCGGTGATGGAGGTCCGAGAAAAAGGATACGAGAGGCTGAAAGAGGAGCTGGCGAAGGCTCAGAGAGTACGACACCCAAACACAGACACCTCTGTGACATCCTGACTGTAACGCAGAGGAATTCATCCCTTTGCATCAAAATATCAGCTTTAAACTCCCGTTAGGTTAAAGTTTTAGAGTGAAAAATACACATTTTATTTTATTTCATTCCATATTTTATATGGTTTTGATTTTCATTTCATCTCCAGTTCTTGTTTTTGCCATGCAGTTATTTTGATCTCCATGCATTCATGTTTTTTGTTTGTTTTTTGTTTTCTGTTGTTTTCTGTTTGTTTGTTCATTTACATGCATGTGTGTGCAAGGAGCTGCTGTTGAAGGATGAGGAGTGTGAGAGGTTGTCTAAAGTCAGAGACCAGCTCGGCCAGGAGCTGGAGGAGCTCACCGCCAGTCTCTTCCAGGTCGGTCCCCGTCTCCTTCCTCCATCCTGTCCTCCTCCTTCTCCTCTACCTCCTGTTCTCCTCATCCAGCAGCCAGACAGAGACTGGACTAAAGGAGACATGGCATTTCTTCCTTTTCCTCTCGTGTTTCCTCACACGAGGTGTTGGGATTCTGTGTTTGTCTGCTTTTGTTTTAGATCCAGCTTTCATCGTCGTTCGCTGCAGCCTAAAACTATATAAACCTCTAAAAACCTCACCCGTTCGTGTTTTCCAGGAGGCGCACAAGATGGTGAGAGAAGCAAACGTCAAACAGGCGAATGCTGAGAAGCAGCTGAAGGAAGCTCTGGGGAAGGTGATTCTCTCATTATAGTGACTCTTACTGTCAGAAATCAGCTGTTAAACTTTTCACCAGGTGGTTTTTTTTCCCCGTTTTAATGAATCTGAGGCTGTTCTTTCAAACGTTGAGCCTGGAAGATGCCAGGAGCTTAAAAGCGTCTCCGTCTTCCTCAGATCGACGTCCTGCAGGCGGAGGTCCAGGCCCTGAAGACCCTGGTGCTCTCCTCCCCCACTTCCCCCGTGGCTGAGCTCCCGTCTGCCGTAGGCGGCAAGACGCCCTTTAAGAAGGGCCACAGCCGGAACAAGAGCACCTCCTCCGCCATGCTGGGGACGCAGCCGGACCCGGCGGCCACGCAGCCCATCGTTAGGGAGTGCAGAGAGGTGGGAACGCGGCTCAGACCTCCGCTTCTACAGCGAAAAAGAAAAGCTGAAGCTTCTAACTGTTCTGTTTTTTACCGCTGAAGGTGGACAGTCAGCTGTTCAGTGAGTTCAAGGCTTGGAAGGAGGCGCCGACGCTCGACCGGAACTGCAGCTTCCTGGAGAGAGTTTACCGGGAGGACATCAACCCCTGCCTCACCTTCAACAAGAGCGAGGTGCGCAGAGGAAACCAGCAGCTCCTCTCCTCACAGACCCATCCCTAGATTCAGAGATGCCAAAAAAACTCCACGACCAATCAGTTCATCGCTGCTCTGCTTTAGATTTTGTTCGTTTCACATCTGTTTTTGAATTTCTTTAAACCAATTTACATCTTATGGCCTACTTCCTGTTGTCATACAGGCTCTATTAACGCTGCGACTTGATTCTACAGATGTGGCAAAAATCAGCAGAGGTGTCAAAAGTTTTAATGTTTATTAATCAAGTAAAAATATAAATCCTGCTGTTTAAAAACAGTTTTATAGAAGTTAGAGGATCAACCTAAGCTTTTTACTCCAGTAAAACTGTAAAAGTACCACTTTTAAAACTACTTAAATCAGAAAAGACTGTTATAGATAACTTCTTAAGATTTCATTTTCTTAGTTTTATAACTAATGGTAACAGAGTCAAATTTAACTTTGCATCATCTTGAAAAACGATTAATTTTGGTATGTGGTGAGCAACAAGTTGGGGCAGCACCGAGTCCAATCACAAAGAAACTAATAGTCTGGATCAGGGGTTGGCAACCCAAACTGCTCAAAGAGCCATATTGGACCAAAAAAAATAAAAAATAAAATCTGTCTGGATCTGCAAAAATGTAAAAGCCTTATATATGCCTCGTATGGCAACTTGGGCTCTAAGTGTTTCATCCCACTATAGAAAAGGACTATATGGGCTTAATATATAATAAGCATTCACGATTAAATGTTTATCCTGAAGCAAATGTCACATAGTCGCCTGAGGTGATGGAGGAACAGTGAACGCTTCACCGAGCGCCGCTTCACCACCTTCACCGCGCGGTTTAAGTTTTCTTGCAATGATGAAATTATAGAAACACAATAAGGAAATCTTTCTATGGTGGACGTGTTTCTGTTGGGAGTTTATTGAGTCATTGGGAACTAAGCAGGAAGTGACATCAGAGCTGTGCTCTCTAACCCCGAAATTCCACATCCTCCGTCACCATCGTTCCTTGGTCTGATTAATATTTTTAGGATTTGGGGGAAAAATGGAAGAAAGTTCAGATACCTGCATCAAAGCGCTGCCTGTTGGATCTGTGGACGGTTTTCCATCCTTGCAGCCAAACTAGCAGCAGTAGTGGAATTTGGAAATGCAATCCACTTCTTAAATCTATCTTTGCGCTCCTCTAATTTATCCTGCAATCGCACTTTTTCTCTCCCTCCCAGCTTGGTGGTCGGCTGCAGATTTAGCCTTCCCTGGAAATGCCTTTTTAAATATTTTTTATTTTTTGACACCCTTTCATTACAAAAGGAAAATGCAGGCAATCGTTCAGCATTGATAATAAAAGCAAATGATTCGGCCTATTTGAATCCTCTTTACTCATCAGATATCTTCCTTTTTTTCCCTTTGGGATTCATATTCCGAGACACGCCTGCAGCTTTGTTAGCCTGGCACCGCGCCACGCCGGTTCCAAGTTATGATCACTGATCTCTATGGCTTTGACGCAAATTATTGTTTAAATTTATTTATAATACAAATGTTTAAAGCATTGGAAAACATTAACTTTTTTTTGCAACCTGCACACCATATAAAAAAAAAAAAAAATCGATTTTGATAAATTTTTGAAAAAGCTCCAGGGAGCCACAAGGGGGAGGCTAAAGAGCCGCAGGTTGCCGACCCCTGGTCTGGATGAAACTTATTTTGATGGTTTTCATTTTTATACCAGCAGGTATATAACGAAAAAGAGCTTAAATGAAACAAAACTAACGAGTCTATTTTTAAAACGTGAGGAGAAAAGTTGTCTAACAAATATTTCCTCCATTAAAGTAAAGCCAAAATTATAATTTAATAAGGTAACAAAGTATTTGTACTTTGTTACCTGAGACCTCCGGTAATCAGAACCAGGTGTAGCTTATTAAATTGATGCAGGAAAAAGTTGTGAATCGCTGAAAGCTCATGGTTTAAGGAGGCAGTTTGTCCTTTTAATAAATAAAAAACATAAAACTACAGTCGGTCTGAAATATTTAAACTGTAAGGGACCAAATCCATTTTTTAATTTTATTTTTTCTGAGTCTTGGCGTGTGGATCAAATGGTCCAGCTTCCCAGTTTCAGTCTGGCTTCTCCTCCTGTCCTCCAGCTGGGTTCGGCCATCCTGGACGCCGTGGAGCAGAACACGCTCAGCGTGGAGCCGGTGGGCTTCCAGCCGCTGCCTGTGGTCAAAGCGTCGGCGGTGGAGTGCGGAGGACCAAAGTGAGAACACTTATTTACTCCCCCCCCCTCCCCTCCCTTCATTGGGCTTTCACTCCATCATCACATCTCCATCTTCCCTTAATTTCCTCCTCCAGCGGGCGAAGCGCAGAGCTCGTCACGTAAGTCTGACTGCGTCAAACTGTAACCCTCGCCCCGCCTGGCTCCTCCAAACGCTCCTCTAACTTCCTGCTTCACTTCCTTCTTCCTGATGTCCAGGTTTATCCCAGGGATCAGAGCAAACCTCTCCTCCTCTGTTTTCCATCCTCTCTCCTCAGTCTTTCTCCAATGTCTTCCGTTTGTCTCGGTTTGCAGATTCAGTTCATCTTCTGTTGAAAGAATGAAATTGTTTCTGTCTCTGATAGAAAATGCGCCCTGAGCGGTCAGACCAAAACCTGTAAGCACAGAATCAAGTTTGGAGACTCGTCCAACTACTACTACGTCTCTCCTTTCTGCAGATACAGAGTGAGTACTGCCCCCTGCAGGAGGAATCCAGAAGCTGCGTTATATAGAGAAATATGCAAAACATTTATTGATATTAATGCTTAAAAAGAAGAGTTTACTATTTACTGGGATTAAACACCAGAGCTTTGAACGCAGCTGCTGGGAGGAAGGATCTGTGATTAAAAAAATAAAAAACAATCCACTGGACTTTGTTTCCAAGTTTGACGACGTTTTACTTCACATCCAGGAAGCTTTTTCAACTCAAAAATTCACCTTTTTTAATTTTCTTGTTTTTTTTTTTTTTTTGTACCTTTCGTGAAAAAAACCTAAAGATACAATTTGAAGAGATTATTTTGAGTGGAGATGGAAAAAGAAATGCATTTAATCTGAAAGTTTCTGAATTGTTTCCTGTTTGGGCTCCTATAAATTAGACTGACGGAGAAGTTGTTTTATTTTTGTAAGACTTTAAAAGAAGCAAACCTTTTCTTTCATAATATAGTAACTGAGATGCACCTTTGCTTCCTGTGTTGTATTAAAAATCTTCAGCCGGCACATAAACCCATTTTCAGTCTGAATGAAGATGAATGTTCAGTTTCCTGATGAAGAGGCCTGGAAATGAGTCTACTGACGCAGTTCCGCCATGTTTGAGCAAGCTCTGCCCTGGCGGCCTGTTATCCAGAGGAAACCTTAGAAGTCTTGGTGTTTAATGGACTCCTTTAGACGTCTCTGTAGCTGAATCTCTCAACTTGCGGCTGTTTTTGGTTCAGCAACGGTTCTTCTATCTGAGAAAAACTCTGAGGCCATTTTGGCCCTAATGCCATGGTTTTTATTAGCACGTCTATAGCAACAACAGCAGCCGTTTTAGATTATTTGATCCATGGAGTAATTTAAGAGTTTATTCTGTTGATTCATCTAATAATTGGATAAAAATGAGCACATTTGCAGGTGAAGTTCAATAAAAAAGATTTAATACTAATTTAAAATAGAAAGGATGCAGCTACAGATTGAAAACTAAGTTCTTAACCTTCATGTCGAAATCAAAAACACGGACAAAGAGCGGATCCTGCATTTTGCTAGCCTGGCCATGCAGACTGAATTAAACGGAGCCGGACCAATCACAGTGCTGGACTTCAGTATTACCCATAATGCAGCAGCACTGGTCTGCTTGTATAACAGCACAATTGTGACAACAATGCAGCAATGTTGCGTTGACTCCAGGAGCGAAGGGATCTGCTTTCCTCGCTGTCATGTGAACTCTCCTACATCTGCTGCAGAGTTTACAGAAAAATATCTAATTTTAACGTTTAGAAGATGTTTAACCAAAGAAGACATGAACTGTTGGTCGAAACCTTAAAGTAACTTTTCTCTGTTTCCTCCTCAGATCACAGCAGTTTGTAATTTCTTTACCTACATCCGCTACATCCATCAAGGTCTGGTCAAACAGCAGGACGGTAAGAGAAGCAACCCATAGAGATCGACTCAGGTTATACTAAAACACACCCCGCATTGCAGGGAATTTTAATGCGATTTAATGTGATTGACCAAAATAAAGCAGTGAAGCATGGCGGTGGCTGCATCATGTCACACAGTCGGTTTCATTAGTAGAAACCTGGAAGCTGTTTATAGGTGATTACTGACAGAAAACCTGATGGAAGCTTTTTAGAGGTCTGAAGTGAAAAGGTTTAGATGACAAAGATTTATGTTGGGTAATGGCCTAGTCAAAGTCCAGACCTACATCCAACTGAGAATCTGTGTTAGGATGTTCATGGAGATTTTAATCTGACTGAGCCGGGCTGGTTTCTGTGAAGAGGATCAAACACAGGCCTCATTTGTTTAGGTTTTAGCTTTTCTCCTTCCAGGTCTAGACAACCATGCATGTGTTGGTCTGTCACAAGAGAAAAATAGGAAAAAGAAGTAAATAAGCTGCAGATTTGAACAACTATAGTGGAAGTTTAATCTCTCAGTGGCAAAAGATTTCATTTACATTCATATTTATTGTTCCCAGAGTTTCAGCCACATTGAATCATTTTCAGTGAATGTTCATTCCTGAAGTTTCTCCTCTTTCAGGGAGAAATCTAAAACTTTCCGCCTGTTCTTTGTTTGCAGCAGAGCAGATGTTCTGGGAGGTGATGCAGCTTCGCAGGGAAATGTCCTTCGCCAAGCTCGGATACTACAAGGACCAGCTGTGAGGGGACGCACGGCCACGCCCTCCAATCACAGCCGAGTCAGACAGAGCCCCGCCCACCCGGATCTGGTTCCCCTCCTCCTGCGTGTGAGCGATTCTGAGCGCGGAGGGAAAAAACGCTTGTTTGTGGGAAAACGATGGACTGGACTGAAAGCGCGGGAGCTCGGTTCGTCGTTGGTGTTTGGGAATGTTCTTTAGGTTCTCCAAGATTTCTTCTTCATTCTCTGAACTCCATTATGTGACACTAAAACCAACCTCCTTCTACACACATTACAATATAAGAAATAATTCAGTCCTGACTTTGCTCCAAACTCTGAGAAAACACTTGAAGTATTGTCTAATAAGCTAAGAGGAAGAAAAAACACTAAAATAAACCGTCTGAGGATGAAAATCTATTAAACTTCCAATATTTCAGTGACTAAGCAGTTTTTAAGATGAAACTTTAACCTGAAAAGATCCTAAATTTAAAGTCTAATTTCCCTCCTATCATTACAAGCATCTATAAAACGCTCTTTTATAAATTCTTCCTATTTTTTTTGTAAAACCCGTTTATCAAATTCGGATTTTGTCTTTGCAACTTAGATGTCTTAGATTCTCTATGAAATCTGTCTTTAAATTTATTCTAAATGTTTGATTTTGAGGGAAAAGCTCAGATTAACAATCAGAAAACTAGCTAGATTTTTCCACTAAATTAAAGCAAGTTTATTTTATTTTATTGTAAATTATTTTAGCACATTAAACTCCCCCAATTCCTTCCTAATCTTAGAGGTTTATCTTTTAAAATTTCTGAAAATGTATAAAATGTCTTTATTTTCTGACTGATTCTAATGAAAAAACTCTTAAAATTTTATTGCCTCCTTCACAGAACTACCAATTACATTTCTGCTCATTTTCTGCAAGTAGTTTACTTTCAGAATTCGTAAATCCAAAAATCCCAAATGAAGCTGGATTCCTATAAATGGCCCCAATCAAACAAACAAACAAAAAAATACTATGTTCCTTTCATAAGTTGTATTTTTTAAAAAGGATAATATATTATAGTCTATAGATTTTTGTCCAGGAATTGTTAAATGTTTTTTTTTTTTCATGAAATAAGAAAAAAAAATCTGCCTTGAAAAATCAGGTCATTTGTTCACAGAAGTGTTTTTCTGTTTCCCTCATAAAACAACCCAAGTGATTTTTCTATAAACTCAGAATCCAAACCTCTGAAATGTTTGTTTTGAAAGATTTGTTTTTATTTATGTTGTGTTCTTTATTTCCGTAGGAAAATGATTATTATAGTATTTCTAAACCTGCAGAATCGGACCTGAAGTCAGACAAGAAGACAATAATCAGTCAGTTATTGTTTAGAAATGAAGCTCTTGTTTAGTTTTTTATGTCCCTGGGGGGGTTTGTCTCCTCAGGACTCTTTGCTGTAAAGAACTCGGGGGAAACAAAGCACTACATTTCCAGTTCTTAATGTGAAGCTGATCGTTCTGATTTGGGGGGAAACTTTATCTTCTCCTGCTGTTTACCCTGGAAAGGTGTGAGAACTTATTTGATCGCCTGATGTTCTGTTCTTTAAACCGACTCCACTTCTCTGTTCCACTCCTGGTTTGGTTTAGTGCCTTTTCTCTCAGACACTCTGAAATAAAAACAGTGATACCTCTGGAAACCCGGCGCTCCGCCTCAAGTCTTTTCCATCAGGGAGCTGTAGTTGGATCCTGTTTATTTTGGGTTTCGTAATTCAGCAGCATTTTATTTCAGGGACCAGATTTCCGTTTCGAGATTTGGACATTCTCTTTTGAATCTGATGAGTTGAAGGTTCAGCAGGAACGTCGGGGTGGTTCATATGTTCTGCAGCTGCTGATCAGAACATCAGATTGAGACAGAATGTTATCAGATTAAAAACCAGCTGTCTAAGATTGGATCGAATTTGTTTATATCCTGTCCTCCATAGTTTGTCCATCCATTCCTCCTCAGGGTTTTACAGGTTTAACATGTAAAACTACTATTTCTCTAACAAACTCTCAGGTCTCATCTATCTGCTGCCTCCGAGGTTATTAGAATAACCAAAAGCACGATAAAAAAAAAACATTTCCACTCACTGATTTAAAGATAAAAAATAGACCTAAAAAAAAAAAAAAAACTAAACTGTAATAACTAATTAGAATTAGCTGAATTTTAAGAGAATGTGCTTAGTTTTTGTTTCTGTCTTTATCCTAATGCATCGATCAACATGCTGTACCGCATTACGTCAGCAGATGGCAGTACAAAAGTCAGATCATTAAGGTTGCTGCAGCAATTTGTCCTTATGTCTTGTCTAAAAGACTAAAGCTATAACTGGGAAAAAGAAGCATTAAATAAACCACTAACTTAAAAATACTAATATATGAATCAAAAATAAAATGAATTTTAAACACAAATATGGCAAAAAAAAAAAATCTGATGAATGTTGGTTCAGTTTCAGAGCATCTCATCTGTGCAAACTAGAAGGTTCCAAAAAAAAAAAAAAAAAAATCTAACTGATGAATGTTGGTTCAGTTTCAGAGCATCTCATCTGTGCAAACTAGAAGGTTCCTGCTTTGGGTTGCAATTTTACAACAAAGTATTAGGGAAAGGTTAGAGATTTTATTGTTTTTCCCCGTTTAAGAGAATAAAGTCATAACATTATGAGAATAAAGTTGAAAAATTAAAAGAATGAAGTCATCATACTACAACCTGTTTCAGGAAAAGCTTCCAGCTTATAGTTTTTAAAGTTCTGATAGTGAGAATAATTTGCTGCTAACAGACTTAATATTTTCGTATTTGTGAAACTGATTCCAGAGTAAAACTAAACAAGATTCTCTACGTTCCTGCTTTCAGGGAAGACAGAGTTTCTTATCAGTGTTTCCAGGATTCCAGTCACCGCCTGATTTAAAAAAAAAAAAAAAAAAGCCACTATTTATGTCTGAATTTTGCAGACTTTAACCTCTAATGTCAAATCTGAAGATTAAATCTCTTAAACTGTAAAGAATCAAATCAGATTTAAAAATCATTGAACTTTATTAATCGGTCAGTGATTTTGCAGGTGATGCAGCTGCTGGTTGATCCAGCATTTAAATTATCTTCCTTTAATGACTATTGGTGAGTTTTGCTGATGATTTAAATGTTTTCTTCCGCTGGTTGTGAGAATGTTTAAACTCTTCAAACAGCCGAGGAAGTTGGACCAACAGGTAATGTTCACCTATCCAGCTTCATCAGATGTTCCTCACAATCACAACCCTGTGAGCAAACGCAGTCCTCAATGTGCGTACCATCCGACTGAGGCGGGCTCAGCTGGTCTACCGAGGCCACAGTCCCCACGCCATCCCAGGCAGGAGGAGGGCGATGACCACGGAGGAGAACAGGTTCACGGCGTTGTTGTCCAGGATGGGCTTCCCGCAGATCCTCCTGGTGGTGGCCGACTCGTAGCTCACCACCTTCCCGATGCTCGAGTCGAAGCCTGGGGGTTAAGGCGGGGGAGCGGGTTGGTGAATTCAGCCTAAAAGGGAACCAAAACAAACCAGACTGGGAACCGTTACTGACCCGAGTACTGCATGTGGGCCCCCAGGAAGGAATCCAGCATGGATCCCAGCAGCCCGGCCACGCCGCCATACACCACCACTGGCCACTGGGGGTCAGCCAGGTGCAGGTCGCTAACCGTCAGGAGCTGCATCGCAAAGTAAGCCACGCCCACAGCCGCCCCGCCCAGGAAGCTGGCCGCCAATCCGACGGGAGTAACGCCTCCGTTGGTTCCTGGATGATCAAGAGCAGAGGAGAAGCAGCAGCTTTGGATCAGATTAAAAACTTCCAGACGGCCTCACAGATCTCACTAATCTCTGATCTGAAAAGTGTGGCCTGCATTTATCTTTAACCCCTGATGGAATATTTTAAACCCGCATGTAGAGAGATGGAGATGTTTGCCATTCATATCTGTTTTTGTTACCCCCTCACCTGCTGGGACCTCCTTCCAGGTGGTGATGAGTCTGGGCTGTGATTGGCTGAGGACAGGCCCCACCTCCGACGCCCAGGTGTCCCCCGTGCAGCAAGCGAGCGCCCCCAGCAGAGAGAGGCACATCCAGGAGGCGGAGTACTGTTTCCCAAAGTCGATGGGGATTTCACCGGGTCCCACCTGCAGCACAGCGACCATGAGCTTCATGCAGAGCGGCCATTTTAACTGAGAGCAGCCGGTTTGTGTTTTCACCTCGATCATGTAGAGCAGAGCGAGCTCCGTGGGAACGCCGCCGTTACAGAACACCTGAACCCAGTTCCTCTGACCCCCTGACAGGAAAAACCTCCAGCCTTAGGATTTATTTAGGTTAGAAATGATTCCAACTACTGAGACTCCTCCCACCTTCTTTGTAGTCGGCATCTATTTTCTTCTTCTTCTCTGCCCCCCATCGGGTCAGCTTGCTGGAGGTGATGAAGAAGGCCAGCAGGGCGGAGAAGAAGCTCAAGTTGGCCATCGTCAAAACGAAGCCCACCAGCAGAGCTGCAAGCGGAAGGTAAAACTGAACTTTTTCCACTTTTCTCTGTTACAGTAAAATATACTATTTAAATTTGTTCACATTTAATAACCATAAATAATCAATCAAATTATTTCAAAAGCCATCAGATATAAAAACCTGATTTGTTTAAAGAGGGATGCGCCTCATATCAGCATCTTTTTGCAACATCTGTTTTGGTCGGATAAATAAAACTGGGCCAACTTTAATAACAGATGTTTGTGTTTGTGGAGGAAGGAGGGGTCGACCATGTGACAGTGAGTCGGTTGAGGATTTATCAGAGAGACAGAAGCAATGTCAGTGTGCTGGTTTTTTTCCATTTTCAATCATAGAATTTCAGTGTTTGTTCATTTATTCTGCATTAAGCAAATAAGTTTGTCTCTTTTTCTTTTTATTATTCATGTCTGTGTTTCATA